GCCCGAGTGCTTGGGACCCTGCACCCTCATGGGAGACCCAGAGGAAGCTCCTGGCTCCTGGCTTCAGATGGGTGCAGTTCTGGCCATTGTGGCCATTTGGGGAGTGAACCAATGGAAGGAAGACCTTTCTCTCTGTCTCTCTCTCACTGTCTGTAACTCTACCTGTCAAATAAATTAAAAAAATCAAAATCTTTTTTAAAAAAAGAGATAAAATTTCAAATACAAAGTTAGGCACAGATGTGAATGTCAATTTAGTATGAGAAAAAAAATCACACACACATTTTCTGGAGACCTGGAGATGAACTATTTCCTCCTTATGTTCCAGGATTCTTGCATAGAAGTACTCCCTAATTGCAACCTGGCTCCCTGTCCATGACTTCCGCCCTCTCAGCTCTCTCAGGGACCCAGGCAAGAAAGGACTCTGGAATTGAGCTTTATTAGTCCCACAATCAATCTAGCTCTGATCTTTGGGGGAAGGAAAATATTGTTTAAGCTCAGAGTCAAGTGCTGTTTTGCAGAGAACTTTATCTAAATGATATGGTTTCAAATCAAATAGCCCAGGAAGCATCTTAAATCTCAAACAATATTTAAAGGATCATTTTTATTTCAGTTTAGGAAGGGTATTTAATAATCCCTAATTAGCATATTTATTATAATTTGGAAAGTATCCTACTGTATCCAGGGATATAGCTATTATCTGTTTAATATTAATTAGAGTTTAAAAAAATTTTAAAAAAGAGTTAATCTCAGGAGCCCTCTGCCACCCCTATAGTTCTCCACTGGGTCAGGACAGCAAAGAAAACCTTTCACAGAAATCTACAAAAGCTTCTTAAAGCAGAGAAAAGCCTCGGGTTTGGAGCAGATCTGTCCCTACTGAACTACTGGGGACATGGATGGACATACACAAACCTAAATTGTAAAAAGACAGGACAGACTTAACAATATTCTTATTCAGTGTCATCAATTTTTGATATTCTGAATTGTGCATAAATTGGCAACAAACATCACAAATACTATAAAAAGACAAATGACACAGACTGGAGAGAAATATTCACAACCCTATAAGACACAACACATACAAAATTGTGATTCTAAAAGAGGAAGAGTAAAAGGGATAGAATAAATGTTTGAAGACCTAATGGCCAAGACTATTCCTGAATTGCTACAAGGTATCAGCTTACAAAAACAAGACCAACTCCAAACAATCTAAAAAATAAAGAAATCCAGACTAAGTCACATTATAGTAAAACTTGTAAAAAACAAACAAAACAAAAATAGAAATTCTAGAAAGCAGGTTGGGTCTGGGAAGGATGGAAAGAAGGACATATCCCTACAGGAAAATGACAAGAGTGACAACTGACATCTCATCACAAATGGTGGCCAGAAGACACTGATATGACATCTTCATGTAACGAAAGAAAAAAACCTATTAACTCAGAATTCTGTATCTGGTGAACTTACCCTTCAAAACTGAAAGTGAATTAGTGACATTTTAAGACAGACAAAAGCTAAAAGAAAGTTTCTCCTGCAGATCTGAACTACATGAAATGCTAAGAGTTTTATAGGCTGAAAAGAAATTTTATCAGACAAAAATCTGGCTCTTCAGGAAGGAATGAAGAATTCCAAAAAGGGAAAATATGTCAGTAAATCAAACAATTATTATTTTTTTATTTGACAGGCAGAGTTATAGACAGTGTGAGAGACAGAGAGAAAGGTCTTCCTTCCGTTGGTTCACCCCCCAAATGGCAGCTACGGCCAGCGCTGCGCCAATCTGAAGCCAGGAGTCAGGTGCATCCTCCTGGTCTCCCATGTGGGTGCAGGGGCCCAAGCACTTGGCCCATCCTCCACTGCCTTCCTGGGCCACAACAGAGAGCTAGACTGGAAGAGGAGCAACCGGGACTAGAACACAGCGCCCATATGGGATGCCGGTGCCACAGGTAGAGGATTAACCTAGCGCACCACAGCGCCGGCCCCCAAACAATTTTTAAAAAAATATCTCATATGTGAGCATGTAAGTATAAGTTTCTTTAAGATATTTTTAATCACTTAAAGTAAAAATAATAAAATTGTATTACAGAGTAAGTAGTAGAGATTGAAGCCAAATAAATGACAACAAGATCAATGGGGTTAAAGGATGTTGACTGAAAGTTCACTGTTCTAAGAAGAGAATGACAGAATGAAGTGTTGTGAGCTGTGAGATCCCCAGGCAGCCTTATTCCAGATTCTTCCTTCCACACGTGAAAGAATTTAAGGTGGGCACTGGCACTGTGCATAATGTGTTAAGCTGCCGCCTATGATGCTAGCATCTCATATGAACACCAATTTGAGACTTGGTTGCTCCACTTCCAATGCAGGTTCCTACTAATGCACCTGGGAAAGGGGTGGAAGATGGCCCAAGTGCTTGGGCCCCTGCACTCATGTTGGGGACCCAAAGGAAGCTCTAGGCTCCTGACTTTGGCCTGGCACAGCCCTGGCTATTGTGGCCATTTGGGGAGTGAACCAACAAATTAGAAGATTTCTCTCTCTCTCTCTTTCTCTCTCTCTCTCTCTCTCTCTCTCTGCCTTTCAAATAAATAAAAAATAAATCTTAAAAAAAAAAAAAAGGATTGACTGCCAGCCCTTTCAGGTTTTTACTCTCTTGGAGGCCCCCTCCAGGCCACTCTGGTTGGAGGTCTCTGACTTAAATAAGTCTTACTTTTAAATAAATAAATAAAAAAAGAATTGAACGTGAACGTATAGAAATATACAATAAAACAGAATTTAGGGCTGGCGCTGTGCTTGGCCTGAAGCACTGGTGTCCCATATGGGCGCCGGTTCTAGTCCTGGCTGCTCCTCTTCCGATTCAGCTCTTGGCTGTGGCCTGGGAAAGCAGTACAAGATGGCCCAGGTCCTTGGGCCCCTGCACCCATGTGGGGGACCCTGAGGAAGCTCCTGGCTCCTGGCTTCAGCTCCGGCCGTTGTGGCCAACTGGGGAGTGAACCATCAGATGGAAGACCTCTCTATCTCTCTGCCTCTCTTCTCTCTGTGTAACTCTCTGACTTTCGAATAAATAAATAAAATCTTTCAATAAAATAAAATTAAATTTTAAAAGAACAGAATTTAGATTAAAGCAAAAGTGTACACTCAAAAAATAAATCAGGCAGCTCAAGAGAGAGAGCAACATGAATGAACAAACACAAAAAAAGATCCCAAAGAAAAACCCTCAACAAACAGAAAGTCCTAACGACCAAGAAAAGCCCCCAGCCAAGAAGAGCACCCTCAACAAGGTTAGGCCTTCTCATTACAGTATACCATCTGGAGGTGTAGGAGGTAACATCCAGGGTAGAGCCCAGTTGAATATTCAAAAGTAGGTGGGGTTTGGGGCAGGACTCAAGCAGTTTTCATTTCCATACCCCACCCCACCCCACCCCCTCCTTTTTTTTTTTTTTTTTTTTTGAACTATCAAAAGCATCATGGCATCAGGTGAATGATGGGTGTAGAGGTAACCCTCGTGGTATTTATATTATAATGACATTATAACGATCTAAAGGTCATGGCAGGGTGGGGAGAAGACACACATCCTGCAGCCATATTGGATATTTACAGCCAGCACTAGTTCCAAGTTCACAATCTTGGGAAACTTGTGGTTTCTGCTACCTGGAAAGGAGTAGGTGGGGTGGAACTATGTAGTGCACAGAAGGCAGAAAGGGAGTTGTCATGTGTCCTAGGCCTGGCTGTCTCAAGGTAGGTTAGCTGCAACTATTGAATTGCAGATTGCTGGACCTGTCAATTAACAAACAACCTGCACTGCCACACAAGTCAGTGGGAGCTATCCAACAGCAGTTCAGCTGGGGCTGTCAGACTCAGCTCCTCTCCCTAGGTACCTGCTTTCCTATAACAGAAGGAAGGCAACATTTGAAGACATTATCACCAAAAACCTTCCAGAATCAAAGACAAACACCTTTAGATCGACTGGGTGTCATCACCACAACCACCAAGTGTCCAAAAGGGTGTTTTAAAAACTAAACCTACATACATCTGAGTGAAATTTCTGTACCCTGCTATGGTGTCTGCTTTCTTTGGCTTCCTTGAGCTCAGAGAGCTGCAGCAGAGCAAAGCTATGACTTAGGTGGTCATCCTTTAACACTGCCAGTGTGTGGATTTTAGTCAAATCTCTGCTCCATCTGGGAATTACCTGCTTTGAGACCACTGTGCCAATTAGGAAGCCTTTTGCATAATTGGTCCAGTTACATCACATCATCCACCATTCAGAAAAATTAATAAAGCAAATCACATCCTCTGCTCCATTTTTAGTTTCTCTTAATTAAACTTATGCCCTTTGCAAAATAAAGACAACAGGAGGTAGAACTTGGGCTAATCTCCTGTCTGTGCATTGTTTTTTCACTAGAATTTTTAGTGAAATACCTCAAATGTCTTCACAATAATTTAAAATTCATTGAGACAATTCCAACATCTCAATTCTTTGTCCTCATGTGTCTCATTCAGGGAGAAGAGAAATGGTAAAATAAATGAATGATGAGCGAATAATCAAAGCTAAGTCCAAGTTAACAGGAAGTCAATTAGTACATGAAAGGCATAACTTGTGATGACGGAACGTGTGGGGGTGAAATTACCTCTGACTTCCAAATGCTTTGATCAGCTGAGGATTCGAAAGCTTCTGAGGGCATGAAATGCCTGAGCCAGAGTGGCATCATGGAAGGGAGAGAAGTGATTAAACTCCAGGCTGCTGTCAGAGATGTTCCAGTCTCCCCTAACTTGTGATGCTTCTGTGTCATTTCCACATGAGAGCTGGCTGTCACCATTTGGGAAGAGACAGCATCCTTTTGCTAACTCCTCCTCCCTTTGATGCCTATAGAACTTGGCCATTAAAATCTGCCTTAGGCTAAAACTCAGCAGGCAAGTTTCTAGTCCAAGAACAGCTAGAGAAAATTTTAATAAAATTTAACAAAATCCAGTCTGATTGGCATTGAGGGATCTGACTTACAAAAAAGTTTACCTACATATGTTGATAGACATGTAGGGAAGGTCAAACTCCAATTGCAGAATTCTGTACAGCAGTAAGTCTTGGCCTGTTAGTATTTTGTTCACAACTGCTGGTGTCCTTGATCCCAAATCATGTGGTGAGCTGTGAGCTTTCCTAGACATCGTTAAGGCATTTGGAGGGTCCTATATTTGGGTAAATTTTGCAGACTTTAGTATTGGTTTGTGACAGCTTGCTAAAGAGGCTAAAAGCTTTAAAAATGAAATAAAAGGCAAAAGATATTTCTAATAGTTATTTTAAAGTGGGGTATCTGGTTGAATTTGGCTTAAATTAACAGAATAGTTACAGTATTTGAAAACACAATGGTGTTTTCTTTTTAAAATCTTAATTGTTAAATATTTAATTTCTCTATAGGATTCTTGTGCATTAAGCCATCGGTAACAAGGACAATACATGTACTTCTCTGCCTCTTGTAAAAGATGTGGTGGCAGTTGAACTTCATTAAAAAAACACAGAAAAAAGACCAGAGTACTTCAAAACATTTCATAAATTCATTCAATGTCTTTCCACATGCCAACACAACACAGAGAATCTGCAAGCAGCAGGCCTGACTCTTAACCATTTATTAGGAACTATGGTTACTCACAGTGAAGGCATAACTCCATCAGTTGGAATTCTGACCTGCATACAAATGTGTCACTATCAATTTATACAGCAGCATTAGAATTATCCTAACAAGTAAATTATCCTAACAACTTGGTCTTAAGTAAAAGGTTATTAATTAGAGATGCAACCATTTGACATTTACAATAAGAACTCTCCAAGTGATTCATTCAAATACACTTTAGATAAATGTATAGAAGACTGAAAGGGCCCCTAAAAATGCTTCCTTTTATCCTTGGATCAGTAATTCATTTCATCAAAGTCATAGAAAGACTTATGTTCTTTTTTTTAATTTTTATTTATTGAATATAAATTTCCAAAGTACAACTTTTGGATTATAGCGACCCCCCCCCCATAACCTCCCTCCCACCTGCAAGCATCCCATCTCCCACTCCCTCTCCCATTCCATTCACATCAAGATTCATTTTCAATTAAGAAAGACTTATATTCTAAGAGTGCTATTCAAATTACTTAAAATTGGTGTGAGTCTATTTCCATCCCTACTATACTGATGCTATAAAAAAGAAATACAAAGCAGAGAATATAAGCAGTTTAGCTCCCACAGATACCTGAACTCTAGTATCAACGAAGAAAATACATTTGCTAAACACGTGTCTTTTCATAACTAGAACTGCTCGAATTTCATTTGATCTTTTGGAGATCTAAAGTGGCACAATAACATTCAAGTTTCATTGTTTGCCCTTTACAGCATACAGAATCCAGCTCTAATGTCTTGGTGAATCTAAATTTGTTTGCTGCACTAGCAGATTGATTTTTACATATCTCGATTCCACTTACATGTGTCATAGTTATAGGGCCTGTGCTTAATTTCTGACATGCATTGGAATGCTACAGAGTAATGAAAGGCTTTCAGAACGAACTCTTCTAAAAGTATATCCTCACTTTCTAGGTCAGCTCTCTCCTTAAAAATATATTTTGACTCCTAACAAAGAAATTCATTTTTAATATTTCCTAGTTTTTTGTTTCCATAACTGCATGAAAACAGTTAACTACTTTGGGTCAGGGTCAGAAGAATCTGTGCTGTGAACCTTCCAAGCTGGCTGATTTTCCTGCCTTGACAAGTCTATCAGTTGGTTGCTGTGTTTTGTTTTGTTTTGTTTTTCATCATGTTCTGGACCATAATCATTGAGATTAACATGCCCATTAGTCCCCACCTAGTGCCCAAGGTCATATGACCTCCCACAGAGCCAAATATGGAGAAAACAAAACTCACTGATCCCCATAGCAGTAGAAAGAATAAACAATAGACTATGTCCCCAAGATACACTAAACATCACTCCTACATCATGTATATATTTGAAAGTGCCATCTGCATTGTCAGTTTATATCCAGTATTAGATAAAACATAATCCCTGACCTCAGATTGACAGACTAGGACACAGACACATAAAATAACTAGTAAATTATTGACAAACAGGTAAAAATATAAATGTCTGAGAATTAGTTAATAATTCTATTGTTTTTCCAAAACATTTCTATTTTTCCAAAACACATCACTTCATAGTGGTGCATCATGTGTTCATCTACCACAAACATAATGACCCTAATAATAGCCTTTGCTTTAAGTTACAATTTGATAATACTAGTCATAGTAAATTTCTCATTAAACTCTAGGTCAATTGATCTATTACAGATACATTGCATGATTTCTTAAAAGATGGATTAGTGGAATACCATGAGATACAATGAGCCATCAGTATACTCTAACTTCAGTTATTTTGACCTAGAGATGACTATTATGACTCAAAAAATCTATTCTTAAAATCAAAACATTTTTTTCAAGAAATGATTTAATGGTGTCACCAAGCAAAACCCACAAATCCAAACAGTCATGTGGCCATCACATCACATGAGACAGTGAAGTATAAGCCACAGGCATCCACCAAAACACATGAAATTTTCACTTACACAATCAAAACAAACTTTTATTAAGTGTTTATCCAATGCCTACCCCTGAGTCTAAATAATGAATGAAAACAAGTAGCTAAGAAATATAGAAGTGTACAAATTGATGATTTACAATATGATCATTACTATTTTCAAGAAACATCTAGAAAATACCACGAGAGAACTTATAGAAAAAGAAAACAATTTTATAAGGTATCAAAAAAGGCAACCAAAGAGAAAGGACATTTGATATTTGCCTTGAAAGATAAATAGGAACTCATGAGAAGTAGTAGCACAGCACATATACACAAGTAATTGTATCAACAATTATGAACAAGATAACGTTTAGAAGTTTGAAAACAGTCAACACTTCCAAAAGGAAATGATGAGAGTTTGGCATGGCTGGAAATGTGGGCATGAGGAACTGTATAGCTGTGGTCAAGAAAAAAAAAAACAGTTGCCACACTGTGAAAAGCCTTATAGATCTGCTAACTAGCAAAGGAGGGGACTACTAAACTCTTTCAAGCTGGAGAAGGATAGGATCAGTAAGGAAAGGGTGTATAGAAAGAGAGATATGAGGTGGGAAAGGAAGGTCATATTACAATAGACAGGGAAACAGGTAAAAAGTTTACTATTTATTTTTGTTGCTTTGTTTGTGTGTTTTCCATCTTGTTCCATAGGAAATTGAAGGCAGCAACCAAGGACACATAAAATATAAAATGACATGAAGTAAATGAAGAAGGATGGAAAACAGGGATCAAAAGACTATGTGAAATGGAACCCACAAATAAAGAGTTAAAAAAAATAAATGTTCTACAAATTGGTTACTGATTGCCCAAGAGAAGTGTAACTCACTCTTCTTGGTATTGACTCCAGACAGGAACTTCTCCTGAGTGAAATAAGGGCTCTGAAAAGTTATGAATAACATCCTCAAAAACCTCCTTTCAGTTAGTTATCTGCAGACATGGCTTGATTCAAGGTTAGATTTGATCTGGAGGAACACTTCATGTTGCTTTCCTGGGCTATGCTGGATGGTCCAAAGCTAAAAAGCCCCTTGACTTACAAGGATCTGAAGCTTCTCTGTGCCACCATTGATCACACATCTTTTGTCTTGTTTGAAAATCAGGTTGGAACTGGCATCTCCTAAAAGTTGAGACAGGCTCTTCACAAGAATGAGAACTTGAAGAGAAAAATTTTCTCTGGTGGAAGTGAGTCAAGGAAGACCAGACAGGTTTAGTAAGGTTTTGAACAGAACAGAGGTGATGAAGATAGAGAGGATAAAAGATGTTTGAGAAATATTTCCAGAGCACAATTAATAGGATTCTTTAGCAACTGAATGTTAGAAAGGAGTGGAGGAGAAAGCAGAGTTGAAGGTACATTCCAAGTTTCTGACTTGGACAATTGGATGAATGGTAGTGATAGAAGAAACAAAATAAGAAAGAATTATTCTAGGGTTCTGGAAAATATTATTAAACCCAGTTTTAGGGATGTGATGTTTCAAACAAGGTGTTCTGAAAGCAATTGGAAATAGAAACCTAAAATTTGAGTGGTATAGACTGAAATTTATAAATTAGTGACCTAATGGAAGCAGATGAAGGCCAAGTTATGAGTGAAATCATTCACAAAAAGCACACAGAATTAAATAAAAGAAAAAGGGGAACAGCAGGGAGAGGGGAACAGTGGGGAGAGGTCTGAGGAGAACTCCCTGGAGCAGAGACAGAAATTTTGGCAGATAACAAGGAGTTATGAAAAAGATCAACAAAATAATTTAGAGGTTTAGAACTAAGAAAACTGGTATTGAAGATGTCCATGGAAGAAGAAGAGGAAGGAAGAGATGACTGAGCCATTCCTACAAATGTTTCAAGAGAGATGATGACCAAAAAGATCCAACAGGGTCATCAGGAATCTGGGTCATGACCACTTCCATAGAAGTCACCTAGAAATCAATCCTACTGCCCTGATACATAAAAGAAAGGTGCAACAGTAGACAAAGCATGCTACTCCGACACACACACACTCACACATACACACACACACACACATACACATACACAATCTGGAAGCATAAGCAAAAATAAGTGGGAATATTTTAAACTAAAAAGGTTGTATACATCAAAGGAAATGGTCAACAGAATGAAAAAAACAACTATAGAATAGGAGAAAATGCTTGCAAACCACATATCTGGTAAGGGATTAATTTCCAAAATATATAAGGGACTCCTACATCTCCATAACAAAAACCCAAATGACTTGTTATGATTTGAATAGAATTTGGTTCCACAAATTCATGTAGATGTTTGAACCCCAAATTTGTATGTTAATTATTAATAGATTAAAGTTAATGGTTGAAGGGCTAAGGGTGGAAATTGACTTAACTATTGTGTCTGGAAGGTGGGCCTAGTGCAAGGACTCAGGTCACTGATGTCTTGTGTTCAATGGGTAGTTCTTGTGAGGGGATAGCTGTATAAGAGGAGTGTGCTTCCTTTGTCTCCCTGCTTCCTGGCTCACTATGTTACTGTTTATCTGCACATATGCTTGCATTAACAGATGCCAGACTAATATGTCACCTGATCTTACACTGTGAACCTACAAACTGTGGGGAGCAACTCGGACTAGACTAAGTTACTGGAATTAAGACTTATTCTATGCATCTGCTCTCCCACAATATGGCGCTGGGAGAGAAGAAAACAGCTTCTACACAGCTGCCTCCAGTTCAACCAATAAACAGCAGGACCTGCTCCTGACTGGAGGAGAGCAGCGTACTCGGCGTGTGGGTAGCAGAGTTGGGATTGGTGGAAGAGGACTATAAAGGAGGAGAGAGACAACATGCACCAGGAACATCTAAGAGGAACATCTATCTGAAGGAACACCTGTGCAGCCCCCGAGAGAGCCGGCCGGCGGTGTGCCGCTCCCCCGCGGAAGTGGGGAAAGTGGCAGGGGGAACCGCCCTTCCACGGAGGTGGAAGGGTCGGTAGCCAACCCGGGAAGAACCAGCAGCAAACCTGGGAAGGGCCGAGCAGACAAAAGAACAGCGCAGGGTCCTGTGTCGTTCCTCCGTGAAGAGGGGGAGCGACATAATGGTGCCGTGACTCGGATATGAAGCCTAGGCA